CCGGTTTGTCCGCTACAACGATTAGAAAAAATTCAGGTTAAAATATATCTCTTCCAATTAATGTTTTATTCCCTAAACTTACCCTTATAAGGAGTTACTTACTGTGAACAGTGAGCTTGGCCTGCTGTGATGCTTCCCCGATCTCGTTCTTTGCAGTAACGCTGTACACGCCGGCGTCCTCCAGGGTCACTTTCTTAACCACCAGCTTGTGTGTTTCCGTAGCCTTGTCCTCCTCTATCTCGATTTTGGACGACGGTTTTATGACGTACCCATCTTTGCTCCTATACAAAATTATTCAAACATGAGAATTATTTATTAGATGAAATTCACAGCGATCAGAATGACAGTAAAGAATCAAGGACAATGTTACTGACCATTGTACTTCAGCGATGGGGTTGGCTTGTATCTTGGTGATAAAGGTGGTTTCCTCGTAGGGCATGGCGGTGACGTCCTTCAGACCCTCGATCTCGGGCCGCAGTAGGATATCGAGGCGCGCTGAGCTCTCACCCACGCCGTACTTGTTCTTCGCTTGGATCGTGTACACTCCGGTGTCAGCATGACGACCTAAACATTTGTTGAAGTTGAAAATACACATTGAATAACTATTTCTGTACTTTATCTGCTATCATAGCAACTGAACATCTTACCAGTGGGAATATGAAGTGTGAAGACGCACTCCTTGAGTCCGTGTTCGATGTCTTTGGTCTGTGCGTCAATGAGCAGCGTGGCGTCCGGCGTCAGCTCAGTCCCGTTGAGCAGCCAGGCGACGTGCGGCAGCGGGTCCGCCGAGCACACCGCGCGCAGCGTCACCGGCTCGCGCTGCATCACGCGCTGCGCCTCCAAGGGCGTCTTGAAGATCGGCTTGCGAAGCTCGCTCTCGGCTGGAAATAAAAACCAGTGTATGGAGATAATTAACTACTCTTGTTATATTACTAACTCTAGTATAAAGTTAGGTCTAGCTATGTCTTACAGAGCTTCATTAATGCAATCTTACTAATATTATAAATGTGAAAGTTTGGATGGATCAATGGATAGATAGATCTTTGTTAGAGTTTGTAGACTAAAAGACTGATGAACGGATGTGGATAAAATTTAGCAGAGATGTGGAGGATAGTCTGGAAGAACACATAGGCTACTTTCTTTTGTTTTTTATTAATACCACGCGGAAGAAGTAGCTGGCAAAAGCTATAAGAAATAAAAGTATCTTTAAATCACTTACGTTTTACAGTAATTTCTGCCTGAAGAACATCTTTTCCAAGGTTATTGCTGATCTCGCACTGCCATTTGCCGGCGTCTCCGAGTTCTGCTTTGTCCACTTCCAACTTGTAGAGGTCTCCGTCGTTGGTGATGCGGACTCGCTCGTCAGGCTTGACTTCTTTGCCGTCATGCAGCCACCGCACCGTTGGCTTCGGGGAGCCACTCGCTTCCACAGTAAACACCAGAGGTAGGGATTCGAACACACTGCTGTCTTTCATGCTGCTTTCTTTTAGTTTCGGAGGTGCTGAAATATTTACAATAGTTTATTATAATATTAAATGCATTTCAATGCTTCGAAGAATAAAGAAGAAAATAAAAGTATGTTGATAGATTAAGAGATGAGATTTTTAATGGCGTGCAAGCTAGAATCTAGAAAATAATTTAAAAAGTCTAATTAATGACTTTAGAAATTATGTTACGAGCATGTAAAATTATAAAAAAATATATACAAAAGATTCATGTGTAGAAAAGAAGGTATAGAATTTACGTAATCGTTGAAACAAAAACACCTTTTCATAACGCAGAATATACAATAAATGTGTGTTCAATATGCTTATTTACAGCAGTTAATCTTAATAATACTGCAGCTGTACTTACCGATGTGTAAGAGGTATAGTGGCAGGTCTGTGTCGTGTTGCTGTGTAAATACGTACCAGATACGTCGCTTAATAAACGAGCTTGTTGAACAAAAAGCAACTACATACAAACAATAACCACACACAAAAAACAAAAGAATTACCTTTGTATGGACGAGAGGTGGAGATTAACATCTCCTCCGCAACAGGACCCGTTTATTAGTATGCCAGAAGGAAATGTTATTACGCATGCGTGCTAAAACAAACATACGATAGAATTAATTCAAAATAACGTCCGAACGCTTAGAAGATACGTGAATGTGATCTGATGTTTAATTGCTCAAATCTATAAACTTTATTTAAATCTATAAAAGGTCATAAAAACAATAAGGTTAATTTAGTTTCAACAAAAATACCAGATCACAGTGAAAGTACAGCTGAAACTTGTAATTTTTAAAGTATAAGCAACAAATACAAATGTTATGCCCCTAACAAACATTCGTAGCATTATAAAACGTATTATTTCAGCCTTCCAGTATTCCTTTTTCAATAATATTGTATGTACTTGAAATTTACCTTTCACATCTTCTTGATTTAAAATATCATCTAATATGCTTCTCTGTCTCTGACTGCGTCTCAGCAAAGCTTCCACTTCGCCATCGTTCTCCTCTTCCACGCAGAATAGTTTCCCACTTTGTTTTTTCTTCTTTTCCACGGTCGTCTCGGCAACTTCTTTTGTTATATTTTCTTGTTTCATTACATCTCCTAATACTAATTCTTCAATAATTCTATTTTTTACGTCATCCGACTTTTCTTCAATGTTCTTGAATTCATTTTCATTGAATTCTTTGCGAATGTCCATGAGTTTTTCAGTGATATCATTTTCAAAGACTTTTTGTCGTTTTTCAGTTAATATGACAGATTCCTCGTCTCCATCGTTCGTCAAGTAATCTTCTTTGAAAGAAGACTGACGAACGTATGAGTCTTTGCTGAACACTTTTCTTGTTTCATCTATTTCAAATATCGTTTTTGATAAGTCTTCAATTGATATTTCTCGCGACAGTGATTCGTTGTGCCAGCTACTCTCATCTTCCGAAACGGAATGAATGGAGACCGCTCTATTTCCGGTATATCGTCCGTACCTCAAACTGTCGGCATCAGAGTCAGTTTGCGGTTCTTCTATAATTCCGTACGTGCCTCTCCTGACGTGGTCCGGCACAGTGTAGTAACCCAACTCGGATAGGAAATAACTGTGACTTGCAATTTCTTCTACTTCTAAAGAAGTAGTATGTGGCTTATTTGGTTGTATAACTTTTCTTGTGCACTCATCATCATCATCGTAGTATTTCGATGTCATTTTATGCAAAGTGTGTGTTTCCGCAGGACCTAATAGTTAAAATATTATTATGACCACATTTAAACTAACGTACAAAACATTGAGCATGCTCTAGGTGATTTTAAATATCAAGGTGTAAGGATATGTAATTAAAAGAATAAATTCAATGGTAATTAAATGAAGAGGAAGAAAAGTTAAGAAGGAAGATAAGCGAAGCTGTAATACCGACCTGTGATAATGGCGCCGTGGGAGCAGGTGCTGCTAACCTTAGACACAACAATAGACCCATCCTCGCCTGTCTTGAACGTGGTTATTGTTTCGAACACTCGGCCTAAACATAACAAATCACACTTCGTTTGTTAAAAATAACACAAGTTAAGCATGCAATATTACTTGCGAAAACGTGAGTTTCTCGCTGATTATAAGCTGTTTGTTTTATTGAGAAATGATAAAGCATAAAGCGCTTATTTTTGTACCTTCTTTTTCAGCACTTAACGGCTCTTCTTTTAGAGTTTGTTTTTTAACAGATTTACGTCTTGAAGGCTTCAACTCTTCTTCTATTTTTACTTCTGTTATTTTTTCAGGTTCTGTTATACCTTTCTTACCCTTTTGTTTTTCATCTACTATATCCTTAACTTCGGGCTTTTTGTTTTGTTCATCTTTTTTCTCGTCCCATATAGATTTTTCTTCAATTGGCTCGGATGCAGTGAATGATTTTTGAGATTTATTAGGCAACTCTTGAATTTCAGTGATTTTAGCTCTCTCATTTTTCTCATTCTCGTTTGTATCGCATATACTCTTTGGTTCAGATAAGTCTGATTTCACAAAAGGTTTAGAAACATCCTTCTCTTGTATGTCTTGTTTATCGTCGTCAACGAATTTACTTTCTGTCTTTTCAGGTTCTGCAAATGATTTCCTCGGTGATCTGACATCACTTATTTCAGGTTTTTTAATCTGTTCATCTTCATTGTCATCCCAAAATGATTTTGTTTGTGCACTTTCAGCTTCTGTTATTGATTTTCTAGGTTTTTTAGGCTTTTCCTTAGTTTCATCTATTTGTAACTTTTTAGGTTTTTCACTTTCGTTGTCGTCCCAAAAAGATTTTGTTTCGGCTGACTCAGCTTCAGGCAATGTTATTTTACCAATTTCTTGAACATCATCGATTTTTTTCAATTGCTGGTTAGCGTTTTCTGCTATTGCTTGATTGGGCACTTTTTCGTTATTATCAATTTGCACATTCTTGTTTTGTTCGTCGTTAATATCATCCCAGAAAGATTTTGTTTCAGCTTCTTCAGGTTCAGAATAGGATTTGTTTCCTTTCTGCGGTTTGTCTTTTACTTCTTCTTCTGTTACTTTATTTTCTATTTCACCCCAAAAAGATTTTTCTTCAACTGTATCAGGTTCTGAAAATGATTTTCTAGACTTTTGTGGTTTATTTTGTATTTCCTCAACATGTGGTATTTTAGCTTGGTTGGCTTCAGCGTTATCATTTCCACGAGATATTTCTTCAGCAACTTCAGGTTTCGAAAACGATCTTTTAACTTTTTGAGGTTCATTAGTAACCTCATTGACTATTGGTTTTTTAGTATTTCCATTTACATCATCGTCCCAAATTGATTTTTGTTCCACTGTTTCTGGTTCTGAGAAGGACTGTTTTGTTTTTTCTGGAATCAAATTAGCATCACTTTCTTTTGTTTTCTTGGGTTTAAAATCGTCTTCAATGTCATCCCAGAATGATTTCTCTTCTGTTACTTCCGGTTCTGTAAATGACTGTTTTGCTTTTTCTGATTGTATATCAGAATCATTTACTGTTGTTTTCTTAGCTTTAGAACTATCATCAACATCATCCCAGAATGATTTTTCTTCTACTACTTCTGGTTCGGTAAATGACTTTTTAGCTTTATCAGGTGTCCGCTCCTCAACATTTTCGAACCTAACACTTTTTGTAGTGTCATCAACAAGTTTTTCTTCGATCGTTTCCGCTTCAATCTTGTTGATAGTTGCCGAATCTTTATCTTCTACAACCACTTCTTTTACATCTTGTTTTTTCGGTTTGCTTTCCTCCTCGACTTCTTTTTCAAGCATAGTTTCTTTTTTGAATCTTGAATGTACTTCTTTAGCTATTAAAAATAACGAAAAGTGATGATATTAAAATGGTTTTTGGATAGGTGTTTATTATTAAAGACGTCACAAAAAAGGTGAGGGGGGATATGGTGCTTAGACACTTGTGAATCACACATCGGCATTCTTGTCGAATGAACACCTTTTTACAGATACAAAGTAACGTGTACAAATCGTCCACGACTGGACACTACAACAAAACTAATACGTGCAATGCAGTAGTAATCTACTTCAGGTAATACTACGCTTTAGTTACTACCATACCTATATGTGCTTGTCCCGGCGGTGTGGCAAGTATAGTGACTTGTGTGACTGTACCTTATTAAAGTGTGGATGCATGTTGTTTGTGTTTGTAACTTGCTGGAGCCAAATACTAGTCACTGAAGTTAGTGACTAGGCGTTGATAAAATACTGTTTAGATTCATAATGAATATTTTGAAAATAAAAATTATTTTGCACGTTGGATCGTTTCGCCTTCCTATTTGTGTGGAGATGTGTGTTATACTTACTGTGTACTGTAACAGTGCTCTTGGAGCTGACGCTACCCATTTCGTTCTCAGCCCTTACTTCGTACTCTCCGCCATCTTCTTCCTTCACGAGTGTTACTGTTAAATTATAGTTCTCCAATCTGGAATGGAATTTATCTTGCATGTAATATATTCTTTGTAATTAGTTGCTCTCTGTCCCGCACATTGTTTTTAACTAAGACAATTAGAAATATTGTACTTTGAATTATTACCTTTTGGTGTCTCTTTCTATCTTGATTCTAGCATCAGTAGTAACCTCCTTGCCATCTTTGTACCACTTGACTTTGGGCTCGGGACAGCCTTCTACTTCTACCTCCAGCTTCAAAGTCTGTCCAGCATCCACAGTCATGTCTACTAAGCTCTTGGTGATTCGTGGCTTTCCTACAAATTCACATATATTATTAACAAGTTAAGCTATTGCTAAAAGCAGAAATAATTAAAAAAAGGAAACTGACTATTGACAGTGAATGTGGCGTGGCAGGAGTCGCTGCCGAGGTCATTGGTGACCTTGCAGGAGTACTGGCCAGACAACTCCGCAGTCACCTCCTTCAGGATCAGCTTGTGGGAGCTGCCGTTGTCCACGCGAGTGTACACCGACTTCTTCTCAGTTATTTCCACGTCGCCCAAGTACCTGGTCAATGTGCAATGTGTTAGAATAAATCACTTCTCTGTCGTTAGTAATGTTAAGATCATTTTAAATTGGTCCTTCAATAAATTCATCAAATATAAGTTCTGTAGTTTTGAACAGACCCAATAATGTCATCTTCACGGTTTTCCAAACTATTTAATCTGTAACCAGGACATCCAGTATGTAATTGTTCTCACCATTGTACTTTGGGCTCGGGGTACGCTTCCACGTCGACGGTAAACTCGACGTTGACGTCACCCTCGCTGGCGGTGACGTCACGCAGCCGCTGGCGGAACTGCGGCGCGCAGCGCACGTTCAGCACGCAAGAGTCGCTCGCGGATCCGTGCACGTTGCGCACCTGAATATCCGAAAGAGACATAAATAGTAGAAACTAGAAAACAGTGATTCTAACACAATGTAATTTGAAATGATAATGAGTAACTGTTTTTGCCGCACTAAAACAAATGGCGCTGTTATATTATTACGCAATGTTAAGTGTATCGTCTCCCTAAACATAGTTCCCAAAGGGCTGTGCAATCTTCGTTGTTTGTTGGAAGTCATTGCGTTCATTGTTTTTATTGTCGTTGTGTTTTGTAGTAGGTTCGAGTCGTTTAATTTTTTAACAACGTTTTGTAGGAGACATACATTGACGTTTTTATCTGGGCAATATAGCATTTGAAATAATAATTTTTATGTAATGACGTTAATAGTACTTAGGTTACTAACTTCACAGGAGTATTCCCCGGCGTCAGCGCGTGCGGCTGACGTAACTACCAGCGAATGAGCCTCGCCTGATGATGATATCTTGATCGTCGATGATTCTTTTATTTCCGTTTTGTTTTTGAACCTGATAAAATATAAACATTAAAGTAGTGGTCTTTTAATTGTTTTTTTTAAGACAGTAACCTCAAGCTTACCATTTAACATCCGGAGCTGGATCAGATTCGGTCTCTATCTTGAAAGTGACGGTCTCCTTCTCCTCGCAGACCTTGGAGCCACCCAGCTTCTTCACGATCTTGGGGGCGGAGGACACGTGCCACTGCCAGAAGTCCGAGCACTGGTTCACTTCGTTCCTTTACATTCACAGATAAGACATATATCAAGCTTGAAATCACTTATTACTCGCTAGATTACACAAGAGATAGGAAGCAAATTACTCAATACATGATAAATATCATAGAATTACTGACTTGGCGACAACTGAATAAGATCCAGTGTCCGTGAGTTTGGCATCTTTGATGGTGATTTTGTAGACGTAGTCGG